ACACCCTGACAGTGTGAGCCACGCCCACACCCTGACAGTGTGAGCCAACAGCGCCTTCTGCAAGGAGACCATGTGGCGGTAACACTCTGTCCAGGACACGGCGTCACTCTGTGCTTCCGCACTGGGCCTGGGCGCAAGGAGGAGACACATGCCCTGGCCTGGAGGGGCTCTGGAGGACCCCAGTTTAGAGGTGGTGGGGCTGACAATACTCCTGCTGTCCTTATGCAGGGTGGGTGGGAGGTTGAGGAGAACAGAGGGACTGTGACCGAGCTCGATCTGGTTCCGCTGAGGGTTCCCCTGAGGGAACAGTTTCCCCTGAGGGCCCCTTGGTTGTACAGACCAGCGTGATGGGCTGTGATAGCCCCCACCTTTGGAAGGGGGGCATGAAACACAGGGGGAGTTGACAGGACCACCTGCCATCTGGCACTCACAGATTCACCCAGATCCTGGGGCCGATCGTGGGGCCAGAGCCCGGACTGGGGACACTTGTTCACTCCCAGGGAGACTGCCCCTTCCCTGCAGGCCCCCTGAACCCCATCATAGTCTGGCCACACAGTACTGGGGTTGTCCATAAGCATGCCCTGAGGGCCTCTCTGCTTGGTTCTTTGTATCTGAGGGTCCAGCCCAGATCTGGCTCCTGCTTGCCGCTCTGTCCTGGCTCATCAGGGATCTTCTCTTTCTTCACCCTGCTCTGAAGCCCCATGGGCTGGGGGCCCTGCAGCAGCCCCCTCTCTCCCCTCAGTCTCCTTAGGGCCTCCCTCCCTTTCCTTCTTCCCCCCAGGCTGCCTCCTGCTTCCCAGCCTGGCTGGTCAGCAGAATTCCCCCGGAGCTTGTAAAATGTCCCCACGATTACGCTTGTCCTGGGCAATGCTGAAACAGTGGGTCAGAGCAGGTCGGGAATCGGTATGGGGATCCTGGTGATCAGTCAGGTTGGGGAATCACTGCGAGTTGAGGCATGCCAGTAATAGTTCCCAGCCAACTCAGGTATGAGATGACCTCACACCTGAGATGGGGCCGGTGAAGGAGAGAGGAAAGAGGCCCGGGTGGGGGAAAGAACCCACAGCCCGGAGGGCTGCCAGTTTGGTGGACACCCTGTGCCCGCAGACCTAGTGATCCTGGCTCTCAGCAACCCTGGGCAGGCTTGCCGCTCTGGCATGGAATAAACGCCCCCTGCTCCTTCTCTGCCGGCTCAGATCTTCTAAGGCCCAGCCGGAGCCTCTCCCGATTACTCCTTCCTTTTCTGCTGAGCCTCAGGGTCTCCCTCCTTTCCTGTTGAGCCTCAGGATCAGGGAACCCTTATCCAGCTGCGTTCCGTGGGCCAAGCACACTGAGGTTTCCTGCCACACAGTGCTCTATTCCTGGCCTCAGCTTTCTCTCCAGGGGTCACATGGTGGGTTCCAAGGTCAGAGACTGTGTCATCATCTTCCCCGCCCCCCATGCCCTGGGTGCCAGGCACGCGGTGGGTGCTGGGTCTGCGGTGTTGTCTGAGTGGTTTGATGGGTTGGTCGGCAACTTCCTGTAGCTTCTGAGCCCACGTGGATCCCCAGCCATCAGTGCTGGGCCTGTGGGTAATGCCACCCAGAGTCCAGGAGTGGTGGAAGGGGCAGGGCTCCAATCGGAAGGGAGGGAGGTGGAGAGCGTGCTGAGGCAGAGAGGGAGGAGCTCCCAGAGACCCCAGGGATAGTCCGTGTGAACCTCAGGAACTGTGCTGGAGCCAGGTTCAAGTTGCTGCTCCCGTTTCTGTGCTATTTAATCCAGGACAAGTCTTTCACTCTCTCTGCTTGGGGCTTGGTGGCCTTTGGTGGCCTCAAAGGTCATTTTTTGTTCTGAGGGTGATGAGTCTGTGGTTGGATCTGAACTCCAGGTCTTGACACCTGGGATGGCAGAGGTTTTGTCCAAGCTTCTAGGACCCATTTGGCCCATTTTGGGGGTTGGGAGAGGGGAGTATCAAGTTCTGTCTCCCAAACCTGGCCCTGGAAGTTTGTGTTGGACACCAGCTCTGCTCAGACCGCTGGGCCCTGTTCCTACAAGTTGAGTGACTGACAGGGTGCAATGTGCTGAGCCAATTTCCTGACCCTCGGTTCCCGTAGTATCACCCAGCAGTGCCCAGGCTGAGGCAAGCCCACAGAGGCACTTTAGAGCAAGGACAGTGGGTAGTTCTGTGGGTCACCCCCCAGAGCACCCTGAGGTCGCTTCTGTTTTGGGATTTAGATCCCCCCTCCCCCAATCCTGCCTCCAGCCTTCACGCCAAGGTCATGCCCACCGTGGGCAGAGCTCCCTCCAGGCACTGTGGGGAGGTAAATGAGAATGGACATACCTGGTCCCAGCCTGCATGGCATCATGGGCAAGTGGAGACACCCTGAGCCCGGGGTTCTTAAAGCCGAATTACGTTGGGCGAATCACCCCCTCCCTCTGGTTCTCCCTCTCCCCTCCCTACTTCACAGGGTTAATTCAAGACAATCATGCATATTGGCGACACAGAGAGAGAGAGGTGGCTCAGGATGGTGGGAAGGCCCCGGCTGAACAAGCAGACAGGCAGGGGTCCAAACCTCAGCTCCCCCGTGACTGGGGTCTTGGGAAGCCCCCTTAACCTCCCAGCTGCCTCATCTATGAATCTGTGGCAGGAATATTGCCCCTCATGGAATTGTGTGGTACACACAGAGCATTCCAGACAATACCCCAGCGTGGTATACAATACCCATCTTGTCCACTGAACGACCAGCCCGGAATCTGTGGATCCTCAAAGGAAAACTGTTGGGAACGGAGCCCTGGATCCAGTGTGGGAACTCGGGTGTCCCTGGTGGGGTCAGGGGTCACACATGGCACTACTGGCAGGGTGGGGACTCCCTCCCACCGCAGTTTATGGTGGGCATCCATGATTAAGTAGGGCAATGCATTGGGGATGGACTGCTCAAAAGGTGGGAGTATTAGTGTACAGAGGAGAGGGCAGGGTTGTGGGAGGGAGGTGCCAGAGTGCAGAGGTGGGTGTGAGGAGGCAGGAGGGGACAGCTGGCTGCAAAGGAAGGATGGGGAACCTGGGGGCAGGGCCACGGTTGGGGAGTTGCCAGTGTGGTCCTGTGTGCATGTTCTTCTGTGGTGTGTCCTCCCCTTTTACAGATGAGAAAACTGAGGCCCAGGACTGACTGCCTATGCTGCATGGCTTGTAAGGGGCAGAGTGGGACGTTCAATGGTACATGCTGGGTCCATGGTACCCAACACTTCTGAGGACCCTGGGGGCTCAAAGGCAGCCTCTGAAACTGGGATTGGATCCAATAAGGGAGAGTTGGAGAAGTTTTAGAGCAAGAAAGGACTCCGAGATCACCCAGTCTAGCCTTTGTCACTTCGCTGAGGGGAAACTGAGGCCCAGAGAGGGAGGCAAGGGGTCTCAGGCCACAGAGCGCACAAAGTGGAGTGAAGCGACGACCCCAGCTCTCCTGTCCAGCGCCGGGCACGTAGGACCCCACAGCACAGCCCGAGACAGCCCCGGGCTGGCATGATTGCTGGGGCCTTTTGCCGCCAAGGCTGTCCCGTGGGGCAGGGAGTCCGTCATGGGCTGACTCACTGCCTGGGGACGCGGCTGCCACAGACTGCCTGTGCCAAGGCCCCACTGGCCCCTGAGGCTCCAGGAACTGAGAGCCAGGTTCCCGCCGCCCAGCCTGAGTCATGACCGACTCGCGTTTGTGTGTTTTTCTCTCGGCCCCACACCCCCAGTGCTGGGTGGGAACTCAAGTGGCACCCAGCGAAGTGAGTCGACCCCGGGCTGAATAATCCTGATCCAGAGCGGGGAGTTGGACGCGACCTGGAGTGACGAAATCCGCAGGGGAGCCCGCAAGTCAGCAGTTGGGAGGCCCCGCCTGCCCCAGTGCCTATAAAAGGTTCCTGGGGTTTGAGCAGCCCCAGCGTCCTCCCAGCCTTCCTGAGCACCTTTCTCTCCTCTCTGCCAACTCACTCGCCTCCCTTCTCTACCATGACCACCTGCAGCCGCCAGTTCACCTCCTCCAGCTCCATGAAGGGCTCCTGTGGCATTGGTGGTGGCTCCAGCCGCATGTCCTCTGTCCTGGCCGGAGGGTCCTGCCGGGCCCCCAGCGCCTACGGGGGCCTGTCAGTCTCCACCTCCCGCTACTCCTCCGGGGGGGCCTGCGGCCTGGGGGGCGGCTATGGCGGCGGCTTCAGCAGCAGCAGCAGCTTCGGGGGGGGCCTGGGTAGCGGCTTTGGTGGAGGATATGGTGCTGGCCTTGGTGCTGGCTTTGGTGGTGGCCTCGGCGGTGGCTTCGGCGGTGGCTTCGGCGGTGGCGATGGCAGCCTTCTCTCCGGCAATGAGAAGCTTACCATGCAGAACCTCAACGACCGCCTGGCCTCCTACCTGGACAAGGTGCGTGCCCTGGAGGAGGCCAACACCGACCTGGAGGTGAAGATCCGCGACTGGTACCAGAGGCAGCGGCCGGCTGAGGCCAAGGACTACAGCCCCTACTTCAAGACCATCGAGGAGCTGCGGAACAAGGTGTGTGGGCCTGGTGGGCGGTGCAGGTGGGCAGAGCATTGAGAGAGGTCATGGCTGCAGTGGCCCTTAGAAAACCACTTTCTAGCATCTTTATTTTACAAACAGGGAGACTGAGCCCACCTTGGGGGAGAGGCCACACAGGCCACTCAGAATTGGTGGCAGAGGGTCCCTTTTCAGCATCGAGGTATCTGAGCTGGGACCGGAGCCCTGACTCTCTTATTCCCTGCAGGTGTGCATTGCACCCTCAGCTTCTCTCAGCCTGGGATGGAGGATGGGGTGGCAGGAGACTGGGGGGCATCCCTCCACACACCCTGAGCTGGGTGGAAAAGACACCCAGGCTGGCCGGAGGGCATGACCTGCCAGCTAGGCGACCCTCAAGTTTGGGGATCTACCTTTCTCCCCTCTCTGCTCTTTCCCCCTGAGCAACGGAGTCTTGGCTAACAGGCCTGTCCTTCCACCCTCTCTGTAGATCATTGCCGCCACCATCGAGAACGCTCAGCCCATTCTGCAGATCGACAATGCCAGGCTGGCAGCTGATGACTTCAGGACCAAGTGAGCAACCACCGTGGTGGTGGACTGCGTGTGAGGCAGAGGGCAGGAGGCAAGCAGTGGGGCCATTGGTCCTGAGCCTCAGAAGCCTCCCAGATGGAGCATGATGCCCCGACCTCTGTCCTGCCAGGTATGAGCATGAGCTGACCCTGCGCCAGAGCGTGGAGGCCGACATCAACGGCCTGCGCCGGGTGCTAGATGAGCTGACCCTGGCCAGGACCGACCTGGAGATGCAGATCGAGGGCCTGAAGGAGGAGCTGGCCTACCTGAAGAAGAACCATGAGGAAGTGAGGCCCTGCTGACCACTGGCTGCGGGAGGCTGGTTCAGGAACCCGGAAAGGGGTCAGCTGAGCTGACCACCTCCCGCCATCCCTTCCTAGGAGATGCTTGCCCTGCGGGGTCAGACTGGCGGGGACGTCAGTGTGGAGATGGACGCCGCCCCTGGCGTGGACCTGAGCCGCATCCTGAACGAGATGCGCGACCAGTACGAGCAGATGGCGGAGAAGAACCGCAGAGACGCGGAGGCCTGGTTCCTGAGCAAGGTGGGGCTCAGGTCCTCAGCCCTCCTGCAGGACTGCCCAGCAAGGGAGCACCTCTGGAGCGTCTCACACCTGCTCTTCATTCTTCTCGCAGACCGAGGAACTGAACAAAGAAGTGGCCTCTAACAGCGAGTTGGTGCAGAGTGGCCGCAGTGAGGTGACCGAGCTCCGGAGGGTGCTCCAGGGCCTGGAGATTGAACTGCAGTCCCAGCTCAGCATGGTATGAGGGACCCCACCCAGCCCCAGTCCCCAAGTCCCCAGTAAGGGCCACCAGGCCCTTAACACTGCCACAAGACAGTTCTGCCTCTCTTATTCCAGGAGTGGGACTGGAGGGATCATTATATTCATTATACAGACACAGAAATTAAGGCCCAGAACAATGGAATACCTTTCCTCCACATTGTCTGGCCCATCAGTAGCCCAGCTGGAATCACAATCCATGTACCTCTTAGGAAACATGCCCAGAGGCCTGGGGGGACAATAGTGACCACCTCTGTTGACTCTCTTTCTCCTGCTCACAGAAAGCATCCCTGGAGAGCAGCCTGGAGGAGACCAAGGGCCGCTACTGCATGCAGCTGGCCCAGATCCAGGGGCTGATCGGCAACGTGGAGGAGCAGCTGGCCCAGCTGCGCTGCGAGATGGAGCAGCAGAGCCAAGAGTACCAGATCCTGCTGGACGTAAAGACGCGGCTGGAGCAGGAGATCGCCACCTACCGTCACCTGCTGGAGGGCGAGGACGCCCAGTGAGTGCCCAGCCCCCTCCACCCCCCTCCAGCCCCTCTGCGCTCCCAGCACATCTAACCACTCTACCTTTTCTCCCCACAGCCTCTCCTCCCAGCAAGCGTCCAGCCATTCCTATTCTTCCCACAATGGTAAGGCTCCTGAGGGTCCTGGGTGCCCCAGAGACCCCAGCCCTCCCTGTGTGGGGCCTCTTAGCTCCCAATGCCCTTCTCACCCTCTCCCCTCTCTCCCACAGTCTTCTCCTCTTCCACCTCCTCCTCCGGCCACCAGACCCGGCCCATCCTCAAGGAGCAGGGCTCATCCAGCTTCAACCAGGGCCAGAGCTCCAAGCCCTGAGCTGCCTCTTCCAGAGCCTCCTGCCCACCTGCCGGCCCCAACCTCCTGAAGGCCTGGGCCAGGGCCCTGTTCTCCCAGCGCGGTTTCCAGCTGTCTCCCCTTCCCCTCCGCTGGTGGTGGGCTAATAAAGCTGACTTTCTGGTTGATGCAAACCTGTGTGGTCTCTGTTCTTGAACTAATGGGAGGGGGTTGAAGGTGTCTCCCAGGGACCTCCTGGGACCTCACAGCCAGAGGGGTCCAGGAAACAGCAAAGCTCAGAAGCCCTGGTAGGGTCTTCCTAGAAGAACCCTCTACTAGCAAGGGTGTGGGAGGTGGGACACAGGATGGGAAGGAGCTTCCCTGTGTTGACAGCCACCCTGGGAAGTGCGTATGGTCAGGCCTGTTTTGGAATGGAGACAACCCTGCCATTCAGAGGTTGAGTAACTTGGAAAAAGTCATGCAAGATAGTAAGAGGTATGACTGTGCTTCACACTGGGTCTGTCTGGTTACGAAGGCCATGCTTTTAGGTATTTTAACCCAAAGACTCCAAAGCTTAAGCTCTCAACTCTACTCTTCGGCTTCTCACACTTGCCCAGCAAGTTCTGTGTTGGATGGTGGGAGAGAGAGCCTTCTGCCTTGGGGATGGGGGTCCATGGTTAGAACTGAATTTTCTTCTCCCAACCTGCTCCTCCGCATCACCCCTTATCAGCCCCTTCTTTCTCATCTCCCTCAGGCAGGGACCCGAGGGCTGACAAGTCCGCTAGGAAACATCTGTCACTCATGCCCTCCTCTTTGTCCCCACGCGACCCCACCCCCACATTCAGACTGGCTTCCTCTCTCCCAGGGACTAGGCACGGCCCCCTAAGCAGGGCCCTCGCTGTCCATTCTCTCTCACTCCCATTTCTGCTTGATGGCCTTTCCAGCAAGAATATGGTCAAGATCAAGAAGGACGTTGATCAGGTCCTCTGTTTAACCACCTGTGACTTTCCCTTTCCCCTCCAATGCTCGACCCTCTGTCTCAACTCGCTTTGGTGCTTTCCTGCCCTGCCCTGCTCTGCACCCAGGAGTCAACCATCCTTTCCCACACCTCTTGCTTGCTATGGGTACCTTCTATATTTAAAAAAATTAATTAACAAAATCATAGTTATGTATGTGTCACATAATAAGTCTTTTTGTGGAAAAGAGCCATTCCCAGGCTGTGTCACCTGCCTCTGTTCCCACCTCCCACTTTCAACTCTGTTACTTTTGGCATTTGCCTTATTTCTAAATTACAGGCTTATACAACCATTTCTTGATTGTTTTTTTTTCAATTTTAGTTTTTAAAAAAGATATTATTTATTTATTTATTTTGAGGGCAGGGGTTGGGGGGGTGGGAGAGGCAGAGGGAGAGGGAGAGAGAGAATCTTGAACAAACTCCATGCTGAGCCTGGAGCCTGACACAGGGATTAATCCCATGACCCCGGGATCGTGACCTGAGCTGAAACCAAGAGTCAGACACTCAACCAACTGAGCCACCCAGCTGCCCCCCAATTTTAGTTTTTGATTGCTTGACTTCCCTCTGTGAAGGAGGGGAATTCAGCTCTCTTATTCAACATTGTCCCTCCCTATTTCTTCCTACCCTCTCAATATATCCATATTTCATTAGAGAAATGTTTAATTTTACATTGTCATGATTAACTATTCTTTACAGTCAAAAATATTTTATATTGTATTACATTTCTTTGGAATAAATATCTTTTTCAGTTTGCTGAGGTTTTCTATGTCCTTAACCTAAGTGTATTCCCTAGTTCACTGCACAGAAGTATAGGTCTCCTCCTAATATGTCAAAACACTGAGTGTTCCATCAGTTTTATCTTCTTGAAGATATTTCTCCTGGAGCCCACTGTCCTGCTCCAGCATGTTCTGGGTGCTCTTTGTGCCTCCCGCCATCCTGGAATCTTCCTTCACTGTCCTCTTGAACATCCCTTCTTTCTGTGTTGCTTCCCTCTTTCTAGATCCCATGTCTCCCTTCTTCTTTTCATCCCTCTTCATTATAGTGAAACACATCCTCTGGCAATTTCCTGAGACAGGATGCGTAGACTTTTCATGTCTGAAAACATCATTAGTCTACTCCCATTCTTGATGGATAATTTGGCTGGGTATGGAATTCTAGGTTGCAAATAATTTTCCCTCAGCACCTTGAAGGTATTGGGTCACTATTTCCTGGTTTCCAGTGTTGTTACTGAGAAGTCTAATGCTGTTTTGATTCTAGATATTGGATGTTATCCGATTTCTACCCCTTCCCCCAGAGCTTTTAGGCTCTTCTCTTGCTCTCTAGCAGGCTACAATATCACATGTTCTGCCTCCATGTGGCTGTGTTGGATCTGTTGGATTGGGCATGTAGCAGCATCTTTCAGCATAGAAATTCATGTTCTTCAGAAATTTTCCAGGAAATTTTCTATTTATTTTATGATTTCCTCCCCTCCATTTTCTCTCTTTCTGGAACTCTTCTTTATCCTATGTATTTCATTCTATTTTTCATCTAATTTCTGTCTCTTTTTTTTTTTTGACTTTCTGAAATTTTCCTAAACTTTGCTATCCAACCTTATTATTTAGTTTTTTTAAAAATTAGATACATATTGGGCGCCTGGGTGGCTCAGTTGGTTAAGCGACTGTCTTCGGCTCAGGTCATGATCCCGGAGTCCCGGGATCGAGTCCCACATCGGGCTCCCTGCTCGGCAGGGAGTCTGCTCCTCCCTCTGACCCTCTTCCCTCTCGTGCTCTCTATCTCTCATTCTCTCTCTCTCAAATAAATAAATAAAATCTTTTAAAAAAATTGGATACATATTAGTAACTCTGGATACTTTTTAAAAGAATAGTCTCTTGTTCTTTTTTCAAGACACAATATTTCATGGTTTTAACAATTCTTCCATTTCCATCATCATTTCTGTTTCCTCTCAGCTGCCTTTTTCCTGGTTTGTCTTATCTCCGTCCTTTATGCCAGAGGCTTCCCTCAAATGTCTGTGGTTCTTGATCTTTGGTTAATATTTAAGAGTAAGTCACGAAGAAGCTGATTGGAAAGTGAGTGTGTGTGTGTACAGCAGGGGGGCTTTCCCCCTGCTGAGTCTCGCTATAGAATAATCTGGTGAATATGCTGTTTTTATTGGGGGACCCCAAATGTCAGTATCTTTAGGCCTTTTCTCTCGGGTAGGGTCTTCCTCAGGAAGGATGTCTCTAATTTACTAGGCTGGCCTATGAAAAGCTACCAACTTTGAGGAAACTATGTGGAGGAAGGGGATTGAGAGTGTCTCAGTCTGTTAATCTGACTTAAGTCAGTTTATTACCCCACGCTTACCCAAGCTGTGCTTGGTCCCTCAGGGTTTAGTTCCTCTGGTAAATTCTCCAGAGTACACCTCCAGTTTCTCCTGAGGTAAAGAAGGAGTGGTTGGCATTAGGTGGGGTTGGGATAGAAAGGGGCTATGGAGGTATCCCTGCTTTTTATACAGACTTTTGACCCATTTATCTTCCTGTTTCTAGCCCACCTGCCCTCCACCTTCAGAGATGCCTGGTGGCTCCTATTCCAGAGGCTTCCAGGGTCCTGCTGTGTGAATCTGCTTGCTTCTTGGCTTCTCCCTGGGAAAGCACCAAGATTACGTTTTTGTTTATTTTCTAGATTCTGAGATTTTGTTACTGTAATCCCTTCTCCTGTTCTCTTTGTCCAACACAGGTTTTATCCATTAACACTAATTTTAGAGGTGCTTAGAGGGGTGGTGATAAATGACACATTTAACCTCCGAAGTCCCTGCTTTACATGGCAAAATATTTTTCATCTTTCAAGGCTGCTGAGCTTGATTCATCACTCTGTAATGCATGATCATTTTTGGTTGTTGAGCAAACATGTCTCCTTATTTATGGTCAACGATCCTGTCTTCTGGGCCATAAGTGAGGTTATGATTCAGATTGAACCCCAGATCCCAATACCCAAAGGCAACCACTAATAACATTTTGGTGAGTTTCTTTCATATATTACAGGTCTGTCTATCATCTATCTATCTATCTATCTATCTATCTATCTATCTATCTATCATCTATCATCTATCTATCCATCCATCTATCTAATCATCTACCTACCTATCTACAATCACACTATATCATTTTGCATTCAGTTTTTAATATTTTAAGAGAAACACTTCCCTGTGTTATTAAAACTGTTATACATTTCAATGCTGTTTCCACTGTTTTTTTTTTGTTGTTGTTGCAATTAAAATATTACAGCAATAACATCGTTCTGCATAAAGCTTTTATAAATATTTTGCATTATTTTCTTAGGCTTGATTCCCAGAAGTATAATTACTAGGTGAGAAGATAATGAATGTTTTAAGGGTCTTGACTTGTACTGTCCAATTGATTTCAAGAGAAATGGTACCAATTTACATATTTTACCAGCAGGGAACGAGAGTGCCTATTTCAAAACCTGCTCACCAACTTTGAGTATTATCTTTTAAAAATCTCTGTTGTTAATTAATTCACCTGTCACTTTTATTTTTATTTTTAAAATTTTATTTTATTATGTTATGTTAATCACCATACATTACATCATTAGTTTTTGATGTAGTGTTCCATGATTCATTGTTTGCGTATAACACCCAGTGCTCCATTCAATACGTGCCCTCTTTAATACCCATCACCAGGCTAACCCATCCCTCCCCCCA